TTACATGAATGGTCCAGTGACATGTTGAACAAAATGTGAATTTGATAATAGAATATTCTAATTGAATTTCTGTCCCCTTATTTGATAAATAGCTGGGGTCAGCTTTCTTCTTGTAACTAGACTTACAAAGAGGTCTTACAATGACTATCTTCTACTCAAGATACCGGAAATTCAAATCTAACCGATTACGAGAATAGTCCAGTGACCTGTAGAACAAAATTTGAATTTGATAATGGACATTCTAAGTGAATTTCTGTCCCCCTTATTTGATATATACGGCTGGGATCAGCTTCCCTCTTGTAACTAGTCCAACAAAGGGGTCTACAATGACTATCTTTCATTCGAGATACTGGAAACTCAAATTTGACCGAGTACGGTCAAAAAAAAAATGGCAGTTGGATGGACAAAAATTACATTTTTGGCCCCAAGATTGATATTCAGACGAGGTTAACTTCTGAAGTATTCTTAAAAGTCTACAATGACTTGCTGAATAAATGAACGATACCTTTTCGAAGGATAAATCCCAAAGTTCGTTCCAGTCTTTCAAGGCCTCTTCCTTATAAAACGAAAATATATCCTGTAAAACCTCCAAAACAATTTCATTACACTAAATATCTATATGACCAACTGTTTTCTTAAAAAGAAAGGCTAAAGAAGGTTATCTGGCTCATAAATCATAATGAAAACCTTTTTAGATTATTCAAATGTTAATTATTCCTTTGGCTGTATCCACCATGAAGGGCCCCTCACGAAGATTTCTCCTGACAACTAAATGACAAGCGTGCCCGTCTGCCTCGGGGGGAGGGGGGGGGGTATTCCCTTATAAGGGCTTAATGGGGACGTGCGGCCGGCCAGGGTATGTTTTTCGAGATTTTTGTCTTCAACAGGGTATCGAAATTTATCATTTTTTGTCTTAATCAGGGTATCTATTTATCAATTTTTGTCTTAATCAGGATATCTTTTCTTGGAAGATAAACAGCAAAATTTTTACAAGCTCTAATTCTAATTAATGTTGAATTCCGTTGATTTTGGCATTGATACCAGGCACATTAAATGTCTTAAACAGGGTATCAAAAATCGGAATTCTGTCTTGAGCAGGGTAGGAAAATCAGCGATATTTGTCTTAAACAGGGTCAGGGTATGAGGGGCCGCGCCGCATCTCCCCACCCAGGAATATATCGAGTACCCCTCCGGGCCGTCTGCTAAGGAGAAAGCCCAAAATTCTATTTTATAACTGCTTTTACTGAAAACATCCTTTTATTATATCACATGAAATGTCCCGTTTCATACGGAAGAGGCAAAGATTAAGGTCTTGACTGCGAGTCAGCTTTTTTCAGGAAACAGGATTTGCAAATCAGTTGTGAGCGTTGGAGGTTATGTCTTCTTTCCTGTAAGATAATATTTACAACCTGAGCAAAGGTGCTAATCTTGAATTACTTCCTCAGTAAATTAATTGTTTAATTCAATAAGTTTGTTCAAAGAATTTATGCTGTTACGACAGGTTTAGTCGCTGTTAAATTCCAATCAGATACTGTAGATGCCTTTGGCAAGGAGTTTCCACGCAAAATTTGAGAGAATATACTTGGAGAAGTTCGCCTTGAAGTTAATGGCTATCAGTAACTCATTACCTGCCGTTATTAATTAAGCCAGTCTTCATTTTGTCTCGTTCGTCTTTTTAATAATAGTAGAATACATGCGGAACTATATGGGATACAGCACAAATCCTCTCTTTATCGTAACGAGCTCACATTCTTTGCATGAAATAAACGAGGTTAGATGTGTGAGAAGACCACTGAATTTTGTTTTTGTGTCCTTGTGGCTTTTTCAAATCCTCCGAACTTAAGAAAATGCACTTCAATGTCTCTCTTTACACTCCTCGCACTGGATGGAAAAGCACAATAAAAAAAAAAAAAGAAAAAACGTGAGAGTCCTCGCTGACTTCTTCCAACGTAGGTGATTTCACAAGCACTTAAATTCTGGTTCCTTCTGACATGTTATAAACAGTGGATTTAGGCCTCAGTAGATTCCCATCCTAAGTTTCATTTTCACTGCGGTTTTTTAAATACAAACTTCACTCATTTCCTTAAAACCTACCTCAATGTGACATTATCTCCAATCAGCATGAACGGAGCCCACTTCTCCACTTCAGGAAAGCCGTTATTTCTCATCCACTTTCGGACCTCGTGAAGAGACTCGCTGGCACTT